AGAGAGAGAGAGAGAGAGAGAGAGAGAGAGAGAGAGAGAGAGAGAGAGAGAGAGAGATCTGCCCTCTGTGCAGAAATCAATACAAAGTAGATCAAAAACCTTAAAGACACAAAACTCTGAAACTGCTAAAAGAAAAAAGAATCCTTAAGGACATAAACAAAGCCTCTCTTAGAATCCGGAAAAGCATCCCAATAGCACAGGAATTATACCAAGAACTGAAAGTTGATAAGATAACCTTTGGGTAGAGGATAAAGGCACTAGACATATAAGCCTGGCAACCAGAAATTGATCCTTAGACTCTACATGTATGGAACTGACTTTACAAAATTGTCATCTGGATTTTGTTTTTTAAGACATAGTCTCACTGTGTAACTATGGCTGTCCTGGAACTCACTCTGTAGACCAGGCTGACCTCAAACTCACTGAGATCTGCCTATTTCTGCCTCTGGAATGCTGGTATTAAAGGTATATGCCACCATACCCAGCATGTCACCTGTTCTAAGTATACCAACACACAAACACACATACATGCATGCATGCACAAATACACAGACATTGATTAATTTATTTCTATAAAGAATTGTCAAATTGAATTGCATAAAACCAAAAAGCATGTACACAATACAGACCATTTGGGTTTGCCTTCAAACAAATGACTGAAGATACAATGAACAGAGCAGGAGACATATCTGACATAGAACTAATACTCAGAATATAAAAAAGAAGTTCAAAAATTAAAAACAAAAGGATTTCATACAAATGTCCAATGAATATATATAAAAAAATCTCCAACTCCTGAGCCACCAGTGAAATGCAAATCAAAACTACATTGAGATTCTGTCTTATCATAATCAAAATTGCTATATGGAAAAGCATTAACAAATATGGATGATGGCAGAGGGAAAGGAAGTTTTATATATTGCTGGTGGGTATACAAATTATTCCAGCCAGTGTAGAACTCAGTGTGAAGGTTCTTCAAAATCATAAAATGGAACTGTGAACCACACCTGTCTCAAAGAATCAAAGTCTACACACTATAGAGATACCTACACATCCATATTGATTGCAGCACAGCCCAGTCAGGGATTCAACCTAGGCATCTCACAATAAGTAAACAGGTAAGAAAAGTAATATATATTCGTATACACAATGGATAGAATTTGGATTATCATAGTCAACTAAAGAAGCCAGACTCAGAAAGGCAAATATACCATACCTTCCTTCCTTAAGTTGTGTGTGTTTAAGGAGTGGGGAGAATATAGATTGAAATGAAATGACAGCCCAAGAGGAATACTGGGGAGACCAAAGGGGATTAATAGAAAAGCTAAAGCAGAAAGAAGGCTTGGAGGGTCAGAGGGTTCGAGGGTCTGAGACTGTGGTATGGTCCAAATACATGTTATTTTTGCATTAAAATATCTTTATGAACGTTGTCATTATGTACATTAAATACAAGCTAAGTTTTGCTTGTTTTCTTGTTTGTGAGTTGTTAGTTTCTTTCTTGCTGTGTAGTGCATACCGACATAAAACTTGCAATCCTCCTCTGCCTCTGCATGTCTAGATGACGCGTATGCACCACCCTGTCTTACAGAATCTGCAGACTATCAGAGTGAGGAAGAACAAGCAACTGGCACATCATTTTTCCTAGCCTCAATTTCCTAAACTGGACCAGTTCTTGAGAAAAGACAAATATTACAAACAACCTCACAATTACACAGAAGAGACAATCACCAAGCACTAGACCTGAGTACCTAGAATTCCAGTTGTCCTTCAGTGATGCTGCAAATTAGGGCACTAAAAAATCTTGGAAGCCTGAGTTTCAGGAACACACTGAAGAGCAATAGCAATAGACAATAGAGAAAGACTGAGACAAGAGTAGTGTTCCTCTCCAGAGCCTTTTACTGTATATACTTCTCAAAGATGAGAGCATTCAAAATTATGACAGTTTTGAAAGATAGTAATCATCTTCTACCTCTGACTAATCTTTTATGGCATAACTGCTACTGTCACAAAAGTATTACACAGGTTATTTCATGCAAATATGTCAATGATCGTGTGAAGGCCACTAGCTTTTGCTGTCCCTGGACAGATTCCTGAGTACTTCCATCTAACACAAATTTCTTAACACCTACCATTATGAGTCTCTCTGATCACCTATAGAGCAAACAGAGCCGTGAAAGACTTACATAACTGAAGAATGCTACTGAAGCAATTACTCCTAATTTAATCCAGAGGGATGATTAGAAAATATTTAAGATAGGAGGATACGTGGAAGAAAAAAATGAGGAGGCCAATCATACATGTAACTGAAAATGAAAAACACAGAATTCAGGAAAAACTATTTGAAAGGTAACAATAATCTTTTTAAATTAGGCCACATCATCTGCATACCATCACAAGACTGAGCATCTCATGATACTAAACTATACTACAATTTACTAATGGTTTTATAAATAAAGCTTGCCTAAAGATCAGAAGGGCAAAGTTAGAGATCAGGCAGTGGTGGGACATACCTTTAATCCCAGGATTAAAGGATTAAAGAGGCAGTTCAAGGTTTCCCTGGGCTAAGCAAGATCAATGCAGGAAGAAATCCAGGTGGTGGTGCCTCAAGCCTTTAACCCCAGTAATAAGGACTCATACATCTTTAATCCCATTACTAGTGGGAATATAAAATAGGAGGAAAGAGAGGCTCTGTCTGCTTATGCAGTTTAGTCTTCTTAATCTGTGGTCACCCAATCTTGGTAGAGATAAGACTTCTCTAGTGACTAAACTGTTTTGCTTTTCTAGTTTTCGAGATGAACCCCAATATTTGTCTCTGAGTTTTTATTATTTGTGCTACAAATGGTGCCCAACGTGGGGTAAGAATTTCCACATGAAACCTAATAAAGTTTTAATAGAAAAGTATTCTAAGCACACAAGAACAGAGTCAAGCACAGATTCTTGGTAACCATCATTAATCCAGTAGGC